ATTCACGAAGGAACAGGATATTTCTAGAAAACAGGTGGCGTGATACTAGTCACGTGACCTCGCTGACGCAACAATATTTTTATGTCTCTGGTCGTTTGTTAATTTCCCGCAAAAAATCTTTCCGAAGAAGTTCAGAGATACAAGTCTTTTCTTAAATAAAACTAGTTTATTCTTTCTCAATACAACTTTGCAATACACTTAATTTCCACAGTCACTTTAACTTAACACACGCTATAATTCACAATGATTCACGCACTTTAATTACGACTTGAGTCGATTATCTGTCTCTGTATCTCCCTGTCTGCTATTATTATCTCCGCTTTATTTGCTGGGCTTATACACAAAAATAGAGGGAGTCTAGCAAATACTAGGATACTCGTGATGTTCCCAGATCCTTCTAGAAACTCACGACGTGTTACCAGCGTCACGTGACTTCCGTTGTCGTAACAATATACTCAGTCATTAGAAATTGTTTAAATGAAAACAAATGTATTGCATTTTGTGGCAAAGCTACTAGGGCTGTCTCCAGCTGTGCGTAATTTTAACAACTAACCAGAGAGAAGACAATTAGGCAACAGTATTCGTCCACCAACCATTCATGCTATGAAATTATTTAACTGTCACTCTTACAACGCACACACAACTTACAATGTGGTATTTTGTGGTATTGTATAGGTTTGAAACTGTTTCGCAGTTCCGAAATCTAAAGCTCTTTCACAGGAGAAATTCGAGTTACAAAAATGAAGGAAAATAACGAAAGACGAAAAAAAAACAAACATAAGATTAAATTGAAAATGATATTTTTGCAGTGTTCGATTCATAGGATACATTAATTCCAATGGTTTTAATATAGTACTTTTTCATTGATCTGTTGCGTCAGAATGTACGTTATACTAGATTATAAGCGACAAGACGGACAATTAAATTTGATTAGGTCGTACAATACTTGGAAATTAGTAACCATGTGCAACAAGACATAAGTTATGTGTTGAACAAAAAGGTATTAATGACGCTATCAGAGTATCACATGATGGGGAAGTCCAGCTTCCGAACTAAGTCTTATGACAGAGTGATAAGGATTGTGCCAATAAAGAAATACTTACGATTAAATGTTATTGTTAGATTCAAAATAACGTAATGCGTTATTTTTTATATTAAGGTTAAGGGTATAAAAGAGCACATCAACCAAGTTCGCGCCGCTTTACTTTTATCACGAAAAATAACATTTCAGACAGACTATTTTTATATTTGAAAATGAAAGTTGTAATTTTTATTACAGTTGTAGCTTACGCCTGTGCTCTTTCAAATGGCAGATTTAACTGGCATGAACCAAAACCATTGTTTAACCTAGTTAACTCTCAACCAGATTCTTCAAAACTTTGGGCAGTCCTTGTAGCAGGATCTGATTCCTGGTATAATTATAGACACCAGGTGAGTATGAATGTATATCTGATAGTGATTACGTTAAACTTTCTCCTTATTCAGTTATTGTAGTATTTTATTGTAATTATGTAATTCAACTAATTCAGTAATTGTCATATCTTATTATGTGTTTCTTATAAATTAATCTCTAAAATACGAATTAAGTATGTATATCAATTATCTATATCCACTAAACTAATTTCTCCTAGAAATAGGAGTAGAATGATAATCATAAACTAAAGTCATCAGCTGTAGTCAAGACTTGAACTGTTGAAACATGTTTTCTCAACCATAAATTGGTATAATGCTTTTAGTTTTACTTTTTGTAGGACTTACTGGTTTCTACTTGTAGAGAAGGTCATGCATCACTAAGCTATTTATAATTTAACCCTCATCAGCACACCTTTGAAAACGTTGTGGAGCACTTGGGTTCCAAGGGGACCTCAGCACAAAATTACAATTATGCTTATACTGTTGTAGTAAGCTCTGGATTGAAATACCAAAAACCAATTGCATTACAACTTTTAGTAGGGTTACCATACAATGCGAACACAAAAATATATGTATTCTAGAGGAAATATGTTGATATATCAAGAAATTACAAAATCACATTGTCCCTCAATATACAAATAAGTAATACTAAACCATTTCTTGTAAAAACTGTATCAAACAAAAGTTAAAGTTGTATTATACTCCTATATTCAAGTAATTGTCCACCAGTATATGAGGAGATTACCACAATACTGCAAAAATCAACTCAAAGAAAATTGAAAGTGTATGTTGTGGGTCACCTTGGGTCTTACCAGACCCCAACACAAATGTATCCTTATAGTAGGCTATGGATTGAAAATCCAATAAGGAGATTATTTACAACAATTATCAAACAAGGTTTCTATAAAATAGGGCATTATAAGCAGTCATTACAGAGAACACTTGTTGAGGAATGAGATGCACATACATGCTTACCGTAATGATGTTATAAACAAACAGACCAGATGATACTGTATTACTTTTTAGAAATTTGTTTCATATGGTATAGGGTGAACTGCATGTATAGTGATGGTCAATGATAGTATGGGGTTCAAGTAGGCCCCACATAAATATTAGAGCATAGCTAAGTATTTCGTCTTTTCAAAAACAGTAGTGTCATATTGATCCATGGTTTCTGTTTGACTGTTACGTGAATTGATATATATTTGTAATGACTATGTAAAGATATATAAACTCAGAAATCTGTTGGGGTCCATGTGTACCCCAGATGTGCTGATGAGGGTTAAACAGCAAGAGTACCTAAGTAATGATTCATTGCAATCTAATTACTAAATGTTTTCTGGTGAATTCGTTATATGATTAAGTATTTGTAGGCTGTTATTTGACATTATTTTAGTTCCAATCAATGTAGCCATCTCACATTTTATCCAAAAGATTTAAAAAGTAGCATTTATTTCAATGGAAATGAACAATTTTCAATTTTTCCATAAGAATAATGCTAAAATAAAACCATTGTTAAGTTATTTATTTGTTTTTTAATATAAACCTTGACTTGTATTGATTTAAACTTGAAGTTTCATTCTTAATTTTAAATTATAAATTAAGCTTCAAAGTTTCATTTTTAATTTTATTACTTACATTTTTATATAGGCAATATCATGCAAAAATAGCATTTTACAAAAACTTCTATATGAAAATAATTGTAAAAAATAACACTATCTCAGTAGTACTATAAACTGTATTTAATGTTAGGTTTAAGACTTCTATAATTCTCTATATTTTTTGTAGCACCATTTCTCAGATGAGGCCAAATTTTAAATGTTTCTTTTTTGTTGTTGTTATAACAAACCTGGTTAAGCTTTGATATTTACAGTCAAAACAGTAGTTCTCTTTAGCACAAACAACTAATAAAATATACTTGGTGTCTAATTACAAACTGTGCTTGAAATGAGTTTAAAGGGCAATGTATATACTACTGTTGTTAATTATAGAAAAATAAATGTATTTTGGAAAGTAAAATAACTAATGCTACTGCTTAGATGCAACCAACACAGTTACTAATACAAATTAGACTTACAGTTATTCAACATAATGAATTAATTGCCAATTTAGTACATTTAAAAAATAAGTTTAAGATGACCTTAGACACAATTTATGAAACAATGTATGCAGAAAAATACAGTGTGCAATATTATAATATATAGTCAATAATACAACATTACAGATGTGACAGTACTGTACAAACACACAGGAATATATTTAGAAATAACCACAATTAAACAAGAAGCACCCTAAAATAAGCAAAACTGCTTCTTATCTAACACCTGAATAAATAGAAAACACGAACCTATAAGTTACAGAACATAAGCAACAGATTTCAGCCTTAGGCTTGTGCAGATGAAGAACTATTGAGGAGAAGGAAAACAAAAGGGACAGAGAAGGATGTGAATGATAAACTTAAGGAGGTTTTTGTTATAGATGATATTTTGACAAGGCATGTGGATAGATTATGCTATTCAGGGCCTCAGGTGGAGAATATAACTGACAGAGCAATATTGAAGGGGCTAACAATGATGTAGTTTTTGTTGTGCATGTAGAGGCTAATGATGCAGAGAAAGGAAGGTCAGAGGAGCTAATTGATAAGTACAGGGAGTTGATAAAGGCATTTAAAGAAAAGGACCATAACTTAATTGTGTCAAGGATACTGCCAAGAATTAATTGTGGGGATGAAATTATATGTTGGACACTAGGGCTGAATGCTAGGCTTAGGTTAATATGTAAGGATGAGCAGACTGGCTGGTTGAAGTTATAGGATTAGTTTAATAGGAGAAGGGAGCTTTTTGGAATGGATGATTTACATTTAAATAGGGTAGGGGCTGGCATGCCTGCTATGGCTATTAACTCAGCTGGGAGGGAAGTTTTAAACTAGGACTAGACAGTGGTGATGGCCAGGATAAACTAAATGCAAATAAGTTAAGATGTAGAGAAAAGTTTAGCATAGGAAATGAGTATAGAAGTAGTTATAAGGATAGGCTTAATTGTTACTATTGTAATGCTAGAAGTCTAAGAAATAAAATAGATGACTTAAGAGTACTGATAAGAATATAGGATTTTGATATAATGGGAATGATTGAAACATGGTTAAACGTAGATGATTGTGATGACAGAAATTTCTTTGAAATATGAGGTTATATGTTATTTAATAGGGATAGAGTACTAAAAAGAAGGGAGGAGTGGCTTTATACGTTAAACGTTAAACGTGAGTTACATCCTGTTGAAGTTGCAGATATCAAAGATAATAGGAAGGAGATTGAATCCATTTGGGTTTCTATTAATGGGTATAAAGGTAAAAGGCTTTTAGTGGGAATTTGTTACAGACTACCAGAAGATACTGTTGAAATTAATGAGAAACTTTACAGATTATGATTTCAGTTGTTATTGAAGTAATAATTAGGAGTGATTTTCATTTCAGGCATATAGATTTAGAAATGTTAGAATCAAACCATGAGGAAGAAAGGTTTTTGTAAACTGTTCAAGAGGGCTTTCTTTACCAATTAGTCAAGGAACCTACTAGAAACAATGCTATTTGAGATTTATTGTTAACATTTAATATAGAAATGGTTGAGAGAGGAAATTGGGGAACATCTGGGTGCAGGTGATCATTGCTTTATTAGGTTCAACGTTTTACTGCAAATGTAGATAAAGAATAATGATATTTTGGATGCCTGTTTCAAAAATGCAAATTTTGAAGGGATGCAACAAGAATTCTCTGTTGTGAATTGGGCAGCTGAGTTATTTGGATACAGATCAAATGTGGAAAATTTTTAAAAATAGAAAGAAAAGGGTAGCTGCAAGTAAAAAACCAGGTTGGCTCACAAAGGGTATAAGAGATAAAATTAAAGAAAAGCATCACAACCACAAGAAATTTAAATTGATTGGTATGATGGGAGATTTAGAAAATTATAGAAAATCAAGAAAGTAGGAGAAACAGAAAATTTGGACATGAAAAAGGATGTATGAAAAAAATGGGCTGAAAATGTAAAAATTAACAGTGAGGATTTCTTTAAATACATTAAGTGTAAACAAAATGTTAGGATGGGGATAGAACCTTTGAGGGATAATAAAGTAAGGCTAGTATCTGATGATTATGAGATAGTTGTGTTATTAAATTCTACCTTTTCTTCAGATTTAACTAATGAACATTTAAGTAGTATTCTTTATCTTGAATAGTTGATAAACAGAAACAAGATAATTCCATTAATTCTGAGCTGGTTAACAAACAATTCAGAAGTTTAAAGAATTATTAAATCTCCTGGCCAGTTAATATTTCAACAAGGGTTTTGAAGGAGGTTAAGGATTGGATATGAAAGCCACTTCTTACTGTTTTCTGTAAGTCCTTGAATAGTGGGCAGGCGATAAAAACTGACCCAGTAATTATAGACGCATTAGTCTTACATCATTTGTGGGAAAAGTTTTGGAAAGTCTGATGAAAGATGCTTTGCAAAGTCACTTAATAAAGTTTAGAATTTTATGGGATAGTCAACATGGTTTCACTAAGGGAAAATCAGGCCATACAAAGCTTTGAAAAGGTTACTGCTTTTGTAAATGAGGGTAAGGGTGTAGATTTGGTGTATCTGGACTTTCAGAAAGCATTTGACAAGGTGCCACATAAAAGGCTTGTAAAAAAAATTATCTCTGTAGGTGTGGGGGATAAGTTAGCAAATTAATTAAAATAATGGCTGAATGGAAGAAAGCAGAGGATTTTATAAATGAAGTTCAGCCAAACTGGATTAATGTCACAAGTGGGGTACCTCAGGGCTTAATCTTAAGACCTTTGCTCTTTCTGATTTACATTAATGACATAGATGAAGGAATGGTCAAAAAATTACTTAAATTTGCAGATGATACTAAGGTCTTTGGTGTTGCTGGCTGTGAGAAGGATGCTGCTGCTCCACAAAAAGATTTAGATCATTTAGTGAGTTAGGAAATAAATGGCATGTGGGTTTTAATTATAATAAATGCAAGATAATGCATGTGGGT